GCCCGTTGTCATGCGAGGGGGCTCGGCCCCGCCGCCAGGCGATCAAGCGGGGGCAGCCCCCGTGGCCGGAGCTCCTGCAGACGATGTGGGGCCGCCCTGAGGGCATCCCGCACGGCGGACGCCGTTAGGTCGGGCAGTGTTTGTCTAAATATTTGTAACGAGTGCCGGCAGGCTGGAGATAGTGGCAGCACGCGAAGGCAGCTGGAATTTAACCTAGGGAGACTTCAAAGCTGGCAACTGGCAGGTGAAAGAAAAAATCGAGAAAAACAAAAATGGTGAGGTGCTTGCAGTGGCAGACCCTGCGCCGTCCCCGTGTTCCCACCGATGGCTCTTATTCAGGTGAGGTCGGCGAGGTGGCTCCCAGTGCTGTGCTGGGGGTCGCCGGCCGTGGGCCTCGGCACCCCATGCCCACTCAGGGGGCGTCAGGCCATGCTGCAGCCCGCTCCTGCCACCAAAGCTGCGCTGTACAGGGTCTGAGAAACACCACGGGTCAGGCTACTCCCCTGACACTGGCAGTGGGCAGGTGTGAGGGAGCATCTCCCACTGGGCAGGGTCCCAGTGGCATGGTAGTCACACTGATACGAGAAGCGTTTCCAGAAAAGTCCTTTTTATTCCCCCATAATTTAATATCAGACAGCTGCTTTTTCCTGCCTCGAGACCCAAGCCTTGTAAGAGTCAGGTGTTTCGCCACCAGCGTGGCTAAGGTTTATATGTGTAGCATCCCGTAACATCTGCTGGAAAACAGCGTGACACCAAGAGTTGCGGCACAGGTGAGATGTTAAAAGGTTTGCACATGGACTTGGTCTGCATCTAAACAGGAGTAGGCAGACTTTAATTTTTAACAGGAACTCGTCTCCAGTAGTAGAATTAACTGCATGAGCTATTCGAGATTCCCCCTTAAACTCTTGTGAAGCCAGCATTGCTGCTGGCTTTAGCTTGCAAACTTGAAAGCATTTGTTTAGAGTAAAAATCAGGGTTTGTAGACTTGCACAATATCAAAAAGGAAGAAATCATATGATACATGCTTCTCCCTTTTTTGATGTCTTAAGACACACAGTGTGTCGTTAAAACATGTTTCCTTACCCAGATTATGCCAGGAGCAATCTTTGGCCCAAGGAATCACCAGAGAGCCAAATACATAGAATTTGGAGGGGATGTCTTATATTTTCAAACTAGTGTCGTGATTCCACAAAAAATGTGTAGGTACACCCAACAGTATTGCTCCTTGATTAGTAAGTAATCATAAGCAAGCTTTATAAAACCTCTGAGAAAAGGTATTTTAAAGATGAACTACTAAATAAAGTGAGAGCTTTCATATGAACATTCAGGACTGATCTGTCAGGATGCTTCATACATATGTAGCTGTGCCACTTTGAGCAGGAATGTAAAACATGGAATGCACTTCTTCAAAATAGGACAACAGCAAATGCACGCTGGATGCATTACAAATTTTAGGAATTACGTGCCCATGATTTTAATATTTACTTGCTTTGCAAAGCTGTGTTACCAAATTTCTAGCGGTCTTTGTGGCTGAAATTTCTGAAAGTTCTTGTTCTGCCTTCTTAGACAGCTAGTGGCTGACTGACTATACAGACATCACGGAAAAAGTGTGTGACATATGCTGCAACAAACACCAGTGTTTGCTTGCACAAATTCTCAGTCCTATTTAGGTTAGCTTTGTTTCTGCAATTGCATCTGATACCATCTGAGCATTGACAGGCCACAGTAAAGTTCTCAATGAGCTATGAACAAGTACTTTTCTAAAAGGGCAAGATCTTTAGCTGGCATGGAGGAGGTAAGGTAAAATTACAAAAGGTCTTGCACCATAAATCACATGTCCACTGCTCTGTAATGCACCCTGAAATGTACGAAGACAAACCTATGCTTTTCCAGAGGGTATGAGGTCCTGTCTCTTTGGGGAAGTTACATATAGTCAGCTAGCATGTGATACTCACACACACAAAGGCACACACACACAGACACAGACAGACACACACACCAGATACCATTTTTACTATGAAGGTAAATTCAATCTGAAAGTTTATTTAATTACCATACATTGGGAAAACTAAACTGAGAATTTGCTGAAATTCTTGAAGGAGACAGGAATACTTTCACCTTCAGCACATTGACTTCAGCTTGCATTGAGTCATAACTGTTGTGTGGACATATCAGTTTCCCGGGTATTTTGGGAAGGTAGCCTGGGAAGCCAGGTGCAGAAACATAAGCATAGGCAAGGGAAATTGGCACAGCAACAGCTAAGGTCAGAACATAGTCATCATAAGAGTATCATTTAGAAACCTGTGATAGGAAGCTGACCTAGGACTACCTCCAGCTTGTGGACAAACATTTCTTCTCTGAGAGTTGTATTATATTGTCATCAGTGTGAAGACTGCTGTTCATGCTGCAGACTGTTCAGGACTTCATCTAAAGGAACAATGCCATACAGCACAGCTACTAACCCTCTGTCCTAGCACTGCTCCTACTGTTTCTGATGTGTTCACATGCCAAGCATGGTGGTGGTCTGCTGAAGTGAACAGAACATCAGTGCCACCAGTTAGAGGTAGTAAGTGGGCAGATACTGCTAGAAATAATTTTTCATCAAGCTGTGCACCCCTGTGACACTCTGCTGCCACACCAGCCACACCAGTCTTTGCTCTGTTGCAAACATCTTTGTGTGTACTAGCAACAACCTGCAGGTCATGTCTGCAAAGCACTCCTTCCAGGTTAGCAGAGAGAGAGGTGAAATCAAGAGCTCCTTCAGTTCCTCTGCGTAAAAGCTCAACTGAAGCCATGACAGGCAGTCCAGAGACCTGGATAGCCACACTAATCACAGCAGTCACAGTCCTTTCTGCAATAACCTAAAGATCAAAACTTTGAAGGAAAAAGATCTTTGTCTATTAATTTGAATCTCTCCTTTTTGGAAGATAATTTTCCAAATTGCTTCAAAAAAACCAAGCTTTTGGGGAACTCTATATATGCAAAACTCCAACTATTATGCCAAAGGAGTATCACTCTTCTAAGACGCAGGCATAACATGTTTTAATAATGTTTCCATTGTGGCAGCCAAAAAGTTGCCAACCACCCTGTAGCTAGCTATCTGGCCCTACAATCTATTGGATGACAGAGGCCATGCATTTCTCAGCAGTACCAGGAATTTGCATAGTGGTGTGTTGCCTCTGCAGTTGCAGAGGTGAACTCAGCATTGATCTCAAGGAAGCATCTCATCAACGTGAAACTCAGCTGCCACTGCACATCCCGGGTGTGCAGCACAATTCCTCCCCTCTGGAACCACTTTACTTATTTGAATCCGGGATTTCTGAAATTTGTTTTGTACTTTTAAATAATTTTTCTTCATTGTTCTGCCGGTACATATGTGCAGAGGAAACAGACAACCTGTATTTACCAGAAAAAGACGCAGAAACTAGAAAAGCAAAGCTCGCTTGTAATGGTAGTTCACCTGCAAAGCTACAGCAGGCTGGCAATGTATCAAAAATATCTGTGCAATGTAAACAGAGTAAGCTGTGTCACACTTAACTGTAACAAGAGTGTGTGCACAAGCAGCTCCCGAAGACCAGCTATCTCAAGGTAACTCTGCCATGATCCTTACAGAAGTTAAAGTTTGTTTGGGTGCCATTTATCCAAACAGCAAAGGAAGTACATTTTATTTAGGCAAACATTTATTTTTGCATTACTATGAAGACAAAATTCAGGATCTTTATTTCTGGAATAAAACAACCAAACAAAACCACCCAAACAAAAACAAAAACAACAAAAAAAAACACCCAACGTTGAACTAGCTTCCTTAAAAAGCTGTGACTGTGAACATGTTTATTTATACCAGGTTAAAGTCCTCTGGCTTAAATCTGGTTTCTATTATTTTACCTTACTACACCATGACTTGAGAATGGACTGCTATAGCAGCATGGTCTTAGTCAAGGTCTTTGTTATCTACCCTCAGATGCAAATTACTGTATTTCATAGCAACCTTTCACTGACCAACTTTTCTTAAATGCTACCCAAAAAACCTGCCAAAATTTTCCAGTCAGATATGTACTTCTGTTCAGCCAAACATTAATCCGGTTTAGAAAAGTACATGTATACTGCAGAGAGCACTGTGTTGATTTTGCATGCCAGAGTCTGGTTCATGCATAAGAAATGCCAGAGTCTTATTTGTGTTTAGGAAAACAAAACTTTTAAAAAACTATTAATTTCCTCTTCAGAAAAAAAAAAAAAAGTTTTATTCTTTTATGGTAAAGCTTCTTACAGAAAAACAAACAAACAAAAAAACAAACAAACAACCCACCAAACCAAAATAACAACCCGAAACAGTAGATTTCCAAAACCAGAGTGACTGTTTCAGAAAGCTAGGAGGATATGAGAACACAGTTATAGAATGGATATTCCTATGCTATCTTAAGAAATTCTACTCACTTTAATACTTTTATTTATAGTGCCAGTTTCAGAAAAGTTTTAGGAACTGCAGATATTTTTTACCAAACTTGATTTGAACATGGCTGGTAAAAAGGCTACCAAAAAGTATGAGGTTTCTCTTCTTCCTTGCAGCTCTGTGAAAAGTAACCAGCCTTCCTATCTGACCAGGGCATTCCTCACCAAGATCTGAGGTGACTGGAGTTTATATTGTCCCTCTGGCATTAACAGTATTCATAAAGACCCACTTAAGAATCTTTGTTTTGGATTCTCCTTAGTAAAAAAATCAGATATAAACTGTGCTTCAGCTGGAGGACCCATAATGAAGTCAATTGCATCGTTATTAGGTTAGAAAATGAAACAGCATCTGCTTCAAGGGAACATACATAGGGTTCTGTGAGTTTTCTGAAGACTTGGGAGATGTCTGGGGATCAGTGACACAACCCTTCTGAAACACCTCTTTGTTTTCAGCAGTCTTGTGATCTCCCAGAACCATTATTTCCTCACCCAAGTGCCAGATAAGAAACTGCATTCCAGCTTCTCTGCTGGCCCACAAGGCAAAGGCGACTTGGTTTACATCTCAATGTTTTACCTGGTCACAGGAATTGGGGAATGATGCAAGGGATTGCTTGCCTTGCAAGAAAAACCAGGTGGGGGTCCTAGTATCGCTCCTACTTCAGGGTTAGCATTTCCCAAAAGCAATATTATTTTCCTGTGAGGTTTTCTGATGAAGTTATTTTTTATGTGTGGAAAAAAAAAAAGTTGTTTTGGTTTATTTTTTATTTTACCTTGTGTCTTTATAGAGAGGCTAAATACTGAGTCATAGTTGGAAGTCAGCTTTGAACATAGTGTAACTTAAACATGTACTTAAAATTTCAAACCTCAGTTTGATTGGATTGATTCCTCATTCTTTATTCAGTGTCTCCTACAGATTTCTGATGGATAGTAATTTCTGAGTTTTGGGAGATTTGTGTTTTAACAGCTAACCTGGGGAAATAGTGGGAGGATGTTAGGATGTATCATATTAAATTGCTGATGTAGAAGTTCACAAAGATAGAATCATTTCCACATTGTATTGATGTTTCTCCAAAATGTAAAGGACATTGGTGTTTTTTCCCTCATACTATTTTAATATTTTTTTCATATTCATATCATTAAAATATTTTTTCAATTTTTACACAAAACTAGTTACTATTTCCTGACTCTCTTAATTTAAGAGTATATTGTAACAAGTTGGAAATTGCAAATCCTGTCAGTATTTTAAAGTTCCTCTGACCAAGACCAGTTTTTAACTCACCATCTCTACTGTGGAGACCTCAGTGATGGCATTTTAACAGAATTCAAATAAGGCTTTAGGGAGTATTTAATATACTATTTAATATTTGAAATCACATTTTGATTTAAACAAATGATCCAACATTTCTGGTTTGAAACGGAAGCAGTAATAAAGTTCAGAAAAGTATAAATCTTTAAGTGCTTGAGTGCAGTGTTTGTGCTTCTGCAAACGTAAACAGCATGAAAGAAAAATCTGTTTGTCTGTCTCCTGTTTTTCTTGGAGCAGTGGTGTCTAAAGTGCAAGCTGACATGCTGGAAAGCATTTCCCATGATAAGGTTAGAGACTGCGAGTGATGTGAGGAATTATTTTTAAACTTAAAAGTTACAGGCTGGGCTTCATTAACAGATCATGTGAGAGAAGGTTAAACAAAAGCTGCTTGCAGAAGAGGAGAGAGGCAACTGAAACAGCCAGATACTGGTTTAAAAATTGTTTTCCTGAAAATCAGATAAGAGGACAAAGAGACCAGTGCATCTGCTTTTTGGGTGAGAGCAGTAGTGACTCACAACTGCTGTTATTCCTGCTTTACAAACAGGAAGACTGAGGCAAAAAGAAGCAGTACCATGCTGTCGTGGCCCCTGAAATCAAATGAATCATCTGTGGATAGATCACTCTATGCTCTTCAATACAGAGTTTAGTCATGGTAAATCATAATGTATCTTTTTTCTCTCTTCTGCTAATCAAAATAAGGGTTAGCTTGTTTTGGGAATGCAAACAGATGTGATATAAATCAGTGCAATACATATTGGCTTGCCTGTCTCTGAAAGCCAGTTGATGCACACTCAGCCCATCAAACACCAGGATGCTGGTAACTTTTCAGATTTACATAATAATTCAAATATTTTAATAACTCTTTAATCACTGTGGCAGACACACACTACACAAGGTCTTTTATAGGACCTTTCTGGCCACAAAGGACCTGCCTGATTGGAATCTTCTCACTAACCACAGACCAGAGTTTCTTGTGATGTCTCCCTCTTTGATCACCCTCAACCTGTGGAGCATTCTAAATGTACACCCCGAAGCTTCAGGACAGTACAGCAGAAGGAAAAGGACTTCACTGGTTCCTCATGGGGCACTGAAAGTTAAGTGTGTGCAAGGGGCATTCATCTGTATGCAAGATGAAGCAGGTTTAGTTAGTGGCCAGCATGAAACAAGACATTTTAGGAAATTGTTTCACATTGCAGTGTCTTGATGACTCCATGACAAGGCCATGCATAGTGCAGCAGCCGCAGAGCTCAGAGCTGAGCACTACTTCTCTGATTTGTGGCATGAGTGGCTGTAAGTTTATGCAATTGCTCCATATGGGAACATCCACAGGGATTTCACTAGGCTTGCAGAAGAGCACAGTGAGTGACTGACACAACATTCATATGATCACTTCTCATCCCCATCACCAGAATCTTCCTCTGCTCTAAGGTAGGTGATCTTTTGGTGTCTGATCATACAGTGCTAGAAAAGTGGGATGGCATGGGGTGATCGCTGTGGTGCCTGTGGTAGCATACATCTGTGCTGGAGTGTGGCCCAGCTGCCTAATATGTGGGCCTGCTCAAGTGCAAGCCTCACCATTCACTTGTCAGCATCCTTTACGTGCAGATTCCTCCCTCCCTGAGCAGTATTACTGGAAGTCAGAAACTTGGGTTATTAGCCAGGTAAGCTATTTTACACACTGGCTTGCAACCAATTCATTACCTACAATACTGATGATTTCATGCAAAAATTTGACCTTTGTCCATCACTGGAAAGGTGGTGATGAAAACCGTTTGCCCAGGGGCTGTCCCAATGCTGGGTTGCCTTCTGCTCCCCTGCCCCCTGGTAGCGGTCCCAAGGGCCTTCCATTAGCATGAAGGGCAGACAGCTGAGCACACACTGCAATCCAAACACAGCACTGGCTGTTTCCTCTCTCTCAGTTAACTTTTTTTTAAAGGATTTTGTGTTTGACTAAACAAATAATTGTTCAAAACACAGGCCGTGTTTAAGGGAGAACAGTTGGGGCTCCTTTCACAGCTTTCCTTAGTCGGCAAAGGCTGGGGCAGCCAAGCTGGGGGGCCACAGGAACCACTGATGTGTCCCTCTGTGCCATGGGAATTAGTTTGTCTGGGTGAATGCAGGTTGTTCGAGCTATCATCTCTGCTGACAGAGGCTTTCCTTGCTCCAGGTTTCAGTGCACATTTACACAGACCATCAGTCCTGACACTCAGATCTAAAATTAGGGACATTCACACTCTGGCTACAAAAGTTTAATCCCCAAATACTTCAATGGAGACAGACAGAAAGGAAGGAAGAAAGGAAGGAAGAAACATACAAAAGATTCAACACATTGGCAGTCTAGAGTTTACCTATAGTATCTTGTTTTGTGACTATTTTGAGAAAACGTACAGTGATAAATATAAATGTAAATGCTAAATACTTTTTTTTTTTTTTTCCCCCCTAGCAAGAAAAGTATTTTTGGAATTGATTTTGGTTTGGGGTTGTTTTGTTTTGTTTGTTTGTTTGTTTGTTTTTGCAATACCAGTAGCTGTTTCATGAAATAACATATCCGTAACTTACATATGACATCCTACATATTGCTTTATGTATTGTTCCATGGGCTGAATTGTTACTGTCCTAAACCATTCACAGAATGTATATGAAAATGCCTAGAAAGAGGGGTGCACTATTAGTGGAAAAAAAATGCTTTAGTGATGTTCTGATTTTGGTTTCTATAGTTATATAGATTAGAATGCTCCTTCATAATAGTATTAAAAATTTATCCCCTTGAAACAGTAGGTGAAACTAAAACTACACAATTCTCTAATAAATACTGGATTAGACTTGGCTGAGCTGACTAGAAAGATTTCTATATCCACATAGAAAACGTCTTCCCCCTCTTCTTTACTTCTCACTAAAAGACAAGCTAAACATAAGTGGTAAAATCCAGCTGAGACTAGTCTATACTTCTTTCAGTATTTGGCTACATATTTGAAAACTACATATAAAACATTGCCCATTGCCCAGTATTCAAATCTGCAGTTGGCTAAGTTTGTCTGAAGGGGGCTGAAAACATTACATCAACTTCTAAAGAACTATCAAAGGCTAGTAGGTACAGGTTTTCTTTAAAAATAGTTTAGAAAATTCAGACTCAGATAACTGGCTGACTTTCCATGTTTGCTTTTAAACAGCAATGGATATGCACATGTTTTTAAATTATACCAGAATTGCTAGCTGATAGGTCTGTATGTTTCATCTCTGGCCATAATGTGCCCTTTTCACCCAGATTTGGGGAGAATCTTGTGCCTTACAGATGATCCCGTACACTGAGGTTGTTTGCTCCTCCTGTGGTAACCTCAGCAAGGTAGAAGTCCACTTCCTCAGCTGTGGGCCTCTCTGCCACCAGTGATCTGTCTCTTAACCTTTCTTCATGTGACAAAGGTTGCATGCTGATGGCTCCACATGCAGAGTGAAAATAAAGACAAACAAAGGACAGAGTGGCCAGAAGTGACTGATAGTTGGCTTAAGTAGAATACATGGGATTTCTTAATATTTTCTGTCTTTTTTTTCTTCCACCCATCAGGTCAGTTCATAGTCCTTTATAGTACTCTTTTATGCCTCAACTTCTTTAAAGCAAAAAAGAGCAAAAATAAGCTCTTCCTCCCTCCTGCCCCCAATCTTTATCAGCAAGACCATTCATTCTGTAAAATCCAGTTTCATTAAGTGTCAGCCTTACCACATCACTATCCTTTGAGAGGAGCAGAGCGCAGCAGCCACCCTTGATGGTGTGTTAATGAACATTGTATTTTTTTCGGCTAAATCTTGATTGAAGATAAGCAGAACAAAATAAAAAGGAGATAATAAGATCCCTCGCTGTAATAGTATCAGTACTAAATGTAATGCTTTGCACTGACTGAATGCCTTCCTTTTCCATGAAGATTACCTAAGTATGTTTGTTAATTGAGTCCTGTGAGGATATCAATCCTGAAAATAATTTGGGTCTGGTGTATTTACAAAATCTCATACAGCTGTCAGGACTATTTCCTACATATTTTCCTAGCTAAAGCCTGGCTGCAGAGACAAATTCCTTGAGATGACAAATTAGCGTATGTGTCACTGTAGAGTTGCCTAAACTTTAGGGGTAGAAGATGATTTTTCTATTTTTTTCTTTTCTTTGAATAAGGCCCAGAACCACTTGCTTCATGCAAAACACTGGAAATACCACAAGAATTCATCAGCTGGGTTTGTAATTCATCATCTCAGATATAATTCTGCATCCTGCATCCACTACAGGCCTGGAGGAGAAAACAACAGACTCTAAACATCACAGTCCAGTGAGGTCTTGGCTGAGTTGTTGCTGCTGTCCTCTTCAAGCAGAGGAATTGAGGAGGATGCTGGTTACTTGTTCTTACATACTACAGCAAAGGTAAATTCACAGAAACCCAGCTGCAGTGTGCAGTGTTGTTTTTTCTGATAAGACTGCAGATAGTGGGGCTGTGGGTGGCTCTTTATGAATGCTAAGTAGGTGAGATACCTCATAAGAGAACAGCTTTATCCTCGAGTCCCTGGACAACCTTCCCCTCACCTTTGGTTATGTACTTGCAATTGTGTACCTGCGTAATTCACTTGCATGCTGTCTGTTGTTTTCCTCCGTGTTTCCGTTCTGTTCCTTCCTCTCACTGGTTCTGGGAACAGCCAGGGTTACTTCACATTCTTCAAATAGCTTTTTGAAGTTACTAACCAGAGTGTTTTTTCTCACTAAATTGCTGAGTGTGCCACAGAAGAGGCTTCTTCTAAATAGCGAGTGCAAGCTGAAATGCAGCACAACTTATTTTTTCCATTTTCCTGTTTTGTAAAGACAAGAAAATACTCATTCATGTGCATGATAGCTAAGCACACAGAACCTTATCCTGCATCCTTATGTAGGCTGAGCTCAAAATCAGCAGTAAGAGTTTTGGTAGGTAGACGATGCAGAATAAATGGTGAGATTCATGCTTACCCTGCTCCTGCTCCCTTGGTCAGACCATCAGTACCTTCCGGGGTTTTTTTCCCTAAGAATATGAGACTTAGGGCATCACATAATCCATGTGTCTATTTCCCTCCTCCTGTATCTTTTGAGCAGTTGGCCATAATAAATCAGGTGTGAAAGGGAGAAGAACTCTCCAACTTGCCTGGAAGGCAGGAGAGAAGAAAAGCAGAGAGCTTCTGCTGGGTGAAATCCAGGCAGACCACAGCTGCCACAAAATAGTGCTCTGCAGCTGGTGGTGCACCCCTGTTTGAGCATGTATGGCTCCAGACTATCTGTGGCACAGCTCTCTTGCTCAGTGGGGATGAGAAGAGATACAGAGAGGAAAGGAGCAACAGGAGACAAAACAGAGATCCAACAATGCTGAGAATTCACCAGTTCTGCTCTCCCACCACCTTCTTCTGTCATCCATGTTGCCCAGCTGTCTCCACAACTGGTTCTCTCATTTACTTACAGAAGATCCTATAGCTACCTCTGTGTCACTACTGAAGACAGACAGATTCTTGAAACAATTAATTGTAGCCATGTGCTACTTTTGTAAAGAAACTGAAGTGTGTTGAAGCAAAAGGACAGTGCAGTATCCTTGTCTAGGAAGATCAAGGTTTTGCACTGCAAGAAGGCAGACTGCAGACGAAGGAGGAAACAAAGGCAGGATGAGTTCTGCTTTTCCATTGGACTGGTTTTGATTATGTGAAGTCTTGTGTAAGAGAAATTACTGTAAAGATTTAACACTCTGCAACTGCCAAGTATGATGTGACAATGTACCTGTCATCGGTAGCAGAAACCAGAAATGATAATAAACATCAATAATTTTTTCCAACCAAACATCTTAGAAAAGCCATGAGACTGAAAGGATGAGCCCTGAAGCTCAACATTTTGCATGAGGAATCAATTATTTAATATGAATTTAAAAAATAGAACACTTCCCCATTTCTATAGATGCCAGTTCTGAAACACTTGGCAGGAGCCTCCAGCCAGCCCAGTTCTAAAGACAGTGAAAGACCATGCCCTGTAATATTATCCATGATTTCATATAATTCTGTGAATTCACTCACATGAATAAACTACACACACTCTTTTGAGTGTTTGCAGGGCCGAGCCCTAAGCACCTAAACTGTCTACTTCAGTGGGATCGGAGAGTTAATTATTTTTGCTCAGGGAATAACAACACTTTTTTATCCATTTTAAATGCACTGCCTCAGGTGTTTTTTAGCACTGTAGTACTAATTTAATGAAGACTGTAAAATAAAAAATAATTATACAGCACACATATGCAGTCTTACTGAAGAAAGTGTGTTTTGAAGAGTGTAATTTAAGATGGTATTTCAGAGGACCAAATGGAGAGGAACCTGACATTTTTGTTGGGCAAACACCTAACTTGAGAAACTAGAAACTTTCTAAGAGTTGTGTAAGCAAATTGTATGCTATGGAGGCCAAGTGGAACTGATGAGAAGACATTTTCTCCCTACCTCAAAGCTGTTGTGAAGCTCATGCAGCACTTTTTGCAGGTGTTAACTCTCTGCAATGCAGATCATTAGTGTTTTGCTCCAACATGTACAAAGTTATATACATCCAGTGTTCAGCGAGTCCAGAACTGAGGGCTTGAATATGGTGAATTGATGGTGGTGGTGTTGCTGTTTGTGCACAATGTGTTTCATGCTAGAGGGATGCCTCATTCTTTTCCAGACCCTCCTGGTCTTCTTCCCTTACAAGTTATTTGCACTCACGTGGGAAGAAGAAGGCTCTGAGCAACATGAACTGAGCATTTTCTTCAGGTAGAGTTAATGAAGCAACGCCACTCACAGATGAGATTAGCAGTCATTCATATTACATGTACATGGAAACTGGCAGGGTGAGAGCAGAAGATGAGAACTCCTGTTTTACATTGACCTTGTTACAGCCTTTTTTGTTTTTTTATTTTATTTTATTTGTCTTTGAGCCTTGCTTTATATACTTTCTTGTCCTACAGCTTCTGTAGTTTTCTTTAGTCACTTGAAAAACATGCTTTATTCTGAGATTCCTCAGGCTGGAATAGATGTATATGTTTGGTATTTTTCCCCCTCTTTGACTAAAAAAGCCACCCCCTGTGTGGTAAACATCCCTGCAAACTCTTGCTTTCCTTCTTCTCAAGTTGTTTCCCATGACAGAAAAGCCCAACTATGTATTACATGGAGAGAGTAACTGACAGGACAGCATGAGGCAGAAAATGGTGTGGAGGACAGCCTCCTCTATGTGGCCGCCTTCAGTATGAAGCCTGAACAGAACAGGGTAAATTCACACCCACTTACATGAATGGATGCAGCATCCAGAGCACTGGACAAATAGCATTATGCTTTCCCTTTGAAAGACAAGACAATTCCCAGACTCTTTCTGCTGCTGCAGAAGTAGCATGAGCCTAGATACATTCCCATCCAGCCAAGCATTTACAGAGATGTTTAAGTGTGTTGAGCAGGCGCCTGCTAGCACGGTGACTTCAAACACGTATGTCCACACATGACTTACTTGGCTAGCAGCTATAGCAATTAAACAAGTTTTGCCAGTAGCTTGGGTTGCCACAGTCTTTTACCCATTAAATAGGTCACAACATTGTTTTTTTGATTTGTGCTCGTTTACCTAATTCTTAACCCTGGTTGACAGACAGCCTGAAGGCACGATGTTGCAAAGGGGCAGTGGGATGGCTATAGGTCCTCTGATGGAAGATGTGTCTCTTCTGTTCAGGCATAGAGCTACCCCTTCAATGTCCTCTGTAACTGCACCAGCATCCCACAGTGAAGGGAGTAGATGGGGTCAGGGCATGTTGTGCTCTGCGGTTTGGTGATTGTGCAATGGAGCGTCTGCAGGCAGAAACTTAAACCAGTGCAGCAGTGCATTAGAGTGTCTCCCTGCACCAGACACCTCCCCTTAATTTCACAGAATGCATCGCATACAGGTTGTTCAGGAAATTGGATGTAATAGGTATGTGGATATGTTGCAAAAACCCCTTACTCTGTGAAATCACCACATTTGTTTATCTTACAGAATGGTCAGATGAGAGACCCCCTCACCTCCTTTCACAGGTGAATTGAACAGATGGTGCCTCCAAGGGTGACAGGGGGCAAAATGAGACCTCCCAACATCAAATGTGCTGACAGAAATCAAGGAAGGATTGTAAAACAGCCAAAGGAGGAATGTTGCAATGGTCATTTTGAAATAAACCTGTTTGTGACAAGCAGTGACCGTGGTGATATTTACGCTATGATTCATACTGAAGTGCAGCACCTGCAGTTTTAGTCTGGATTACTTTTAGGATAGAAGCAGCAGCAAACACTGTTCTATTATAATATTTGAGAATGAGAAAGCAAACATCAATGCTGCTCTTGGCTCTAGGACTACATTAACTTAGAGCAGGGCTTGTGTCAGAGGTGGCTGGAGCATCTTTCCACTGCAAGGTGCAGCTTCCTTGTAATTGATTCACAACAGGGGTTCACACAGTTGCATATCTCTCTGTATTCACTTGCATTTCTTTTCTCTTTTATGTGGTAATTGCACTGACAACCCTTAGCTGGCATGTATCATACCACAATAGGGCTCTTCAGGGATGCCCTCAGAAAGTCCCTTACACCATCTCCCGCTCCTCCTTGATGACAAGTCTGAACTTTCTTATCTGTGTCTATGCTAGATTGTCGGCGACAGCGTCTACCTCTGTGTCTGTAGGCTCAAGGCAGCTACTGGCAGCTTCCTTACAGAGAGACATGCATGTTATTCTCTCAGCACTACTGATAAGCAAAATGCTATAGCCAGGAAGAGGTGAGACATAGTTACTGATTTGTATGCCTGGTTGTTCATGCTGTCAGAAGGCAGCTTGGATATCTTTTAGAAATTCAGCACATTCCAGTGGGCACCTGTGTATACTGGAAATTTCTTTTAGATATTTATCTATCTATCTATCTATCTATCTATCTATCTATCTATCTATCTATCTATCTATCTCTATATCTATATCTATATATATATCTATCTGTATATCTAGATATATAGATAGATATATAGATATAGATATAGTAATAGATATTCTAGATATATAAAAGATATACTATCTTTCAGAAATTCACATTCCAGTGGGCACTGTAATACTGGAAAGACAGCTCTTTTGAGGGAATCAAAAGTCAGCCTCCTGTTTCTTTACAGAAATATAGCACAGAGGCTTCAGAATACAGGTCTGCACTCCCACTCCTGCTTAAGATTATCGCTAAATACCCACTTAGTGAAAATGCCAGCTTACTGCCTACTTTACCAGGGAAAAATGAGATCAGGAAAAGAAACGTCTGCAGATTATTTCCTCCAAGAAGATATTTTGCTTCCACAGTTCAGTCCTCAAGGATATTCAATATTTTTCGCTACAAGTGCTTAAAATACTTTAAAGTGCAATGAAAAATCTTCACACGAGCTGGTTGGATGACTCCTCTGCTTCACACTACATGTTCTTTTGTTTTTTTTTTCCCTGCACTGAACCACTGGAGCTAGTTTTGAACAGTTTAAAAAAAAAAAACACCCTGAAGCACTTAAAGGAAAAAAATAAAAGAAAAAAACATTTATTCAAACAAACAAATGCCTATCCAAAAGCCTGAAAGAACTGTTTCCAGGAAAAATGTCCTTGATGATATTTTGCCATTCTCACCAGTCTTTAATTCTTCACTTAAAGGAATTTTTGTTTAATTTCCATTTCAGACAAGGAAGATGACTTTCTATCTTCTAAGCCAATACAAATGTATCTCAGATCCTAGCCAGTACATTTTGTTTTTACTGCTGGAAAGGTAAAAGTTGTAACTCTGCACTTTGGAAGCAGGTGTGTGAAAGGCCAGTGTTATCTACACCTGAAGCGACAACATATCCCTTGCCTGTCCTAAACCTGACAGCTTTTCCCCGCAGCACAACCCAGTCTTTCCTAGTCATTTATTTTGATGGGTCCTTATATTTGCTTTATATGTGAAGAGGGAAATAATCACAAGATTACCAAAACCCTGCCAAAATAATGGGGTTTTCCATATATAGAAGACAAAACCTACAGGTAAACAGAATTACAAATACCCTTCTGTACTCTCTTTTATTACATATATGGAGACACAGAGACTCTGGAAGTTGCACAAAGAGACAACCTTGCTATTCACATGCAGTGTGATCTTCCCAATCTGCAAATCTTCCCTATCAGCTTAGACTCAACGCAGAAAGCATCACAGGGCAGGAAGAAGTGTGAGGAGGCTTCATCACTGGTACATCTGCAGCTGATGCTGTTACACAAGAAACACCATCTTCCCTGCAAGCAGGGTTGAGGGGTAAGAAGAGATGTGCTGTAACATCTTTAGTGAGAAAACACAGACAACCCATCAAAAAGTTCACCCTAATCTATGGTATGGTTTAGCTGTGATACTGTCCAGAGTCTGATATCCAGCTGCAATACCTGGAAAACCCACCATCCAAAAGCAGTACCCTGATCCTTGGTCACGACTTGGCGTAGGGGACTGAGTTGGCTGCTGTAGCTCTCGAGGTGGTGCCTTCCTGGGAAGACTGATCCTGGCATGTGGCCCCTGCAGGTGAGCAGGACTGTGTGTCAGCCACAGTGTGTCAGTCCCTGCTGCTTTGAGGATGAAGAATGAACAGACTGAATGAACAAGATTCTCCAGAAGCAGGATCACAAAGCCTCCTTTAAATACATCAGGGTTTGCTAAAATACTAGGGAAAGTGCTTTCCGATTCACTTACAGAATCAGTGTGGTTTGTTGTCTTTTTTTTTTAATGCTTTCCCAGGCAGAGTGATCTAGACTCAGGTCTTGAAACCACCAATAATATTTGGTGGGCAAGAAATGGAGGATTGAGCCTTGCTTTGTAACTGTACTTTGATTTTTAATTAATTTTTCTTATTAAGTTGGTTTAAGAAGCAGAATTTGCTGAACTGCTGCATATACGTAAAATCATGGGGTTTTTCCCCTTCTTTTCTGACTGAAAGGAGAGCAACAAATACCAATAGACTAAAAATATCTGCCAGGTATAATGAAAGAGATGAAAGGAGCCAGACGAGTTTTACTCAGAAATGTTTAATGGCAAGTAGTACAGTATTTCTTCTTCATGTTGTGTCTTTCCATCCACATCTCCACCTAGTCTCTCTCTTCCTAGTGGTTTGGGTTTTTTGTGGTTGGTGGTTTGTTTTTTTTTTTTTTTTTTGTTGCAGCACATAAAGCCCAGGTCCTATTGAGCTAGGTTGGTATGGCCCATGTCTGCATCTTTGTGGCATGCCTTGTACAGCTCTAAGGAGTTTAGCAAAAGCAATAGTCATCTGAAGGCATAGAGCTCCTGCAGCACTGAGACTTGAACCAGTTTTAGAAACATTTCCAGTGCTGAGCATCAGCCCAGCCCTTGCAGGCAGGTCAGTACTATTATCTGCTTGCACACTACAGAGGGCTGAGTCAAGGATGGACTCTGTGACTTCGGCAATGCCACAGGAATCCTGTGTTGCAGGCAGGAGCACAGCGAACTCCTTTTTCCTTCCTTCAGTATTAACCTTGCCTTCCCCACCAGATGGACTAGAATTAGCTGTACCCAGAGACAGTTTAAGGAGAGCAGGAAAGGGCTATGGATGTCACTCCTCATTTGTTAACAGGAGTAAACCAAATTGCAATGCCTAGTACTTCAGGGATGGCCATGAGTCAGGAGAGTTCAATCGCAGAGCAGTATTTGCCATGCTGCCCTCCCCTCCCCAGCAGAGCAGATGTAAGATGTAGTGCTCAGGGCTGGCTTTCCTGGTTAAACATCCCCCAGGGTACCCTGGCTCTACCATCTCACATTTGCTACTGTTTCTGGATTTGAGATAGTTCTTTGTTCCCTAGGAGGAGGTAGAGGACTTTTTTAGTTTACTGTTATCTTTTTTAAGTGTCTTTTCTGCTAAGGGCCACTGATATCTAGACAGACTTTTACCAGAGCTTGTGGAAATGCTTTTAGCCAAAATAAATACTGAAGTCAAAACTTTACAGGGCTTGAAACTATTTATGGGTGTGGTTTACTAAGCCCTTTAGGCTGATTTGAACTAGCAGTACTGCTGAAAAAAGGCATTCTGGCCCTTCCCTCTCCTGTGACTTCTCATTCCTGCTCTAAGCTGTAGCAGCAAGCTGAGCAGGCTGCAGACAGAGCCTTCAAAACAACAGTAGAGCTTCCTGATGGATCAGTGAGCTGAAATGGATGAGCATGCCTAGTACTAGTGTGAGCCTGAAAGACTGCAAAGCAAAGATGGAGAGGACAGAACTTCCCCTTTCAGTGCAACACAGTTTTAGATTAGTTTAGGAAAATGGACCATCAAATAAGCGCTGAGACCTGAGACTAGAGTGCTGACCTAAGATATGGCAGAACTTGGTTAAAGTCACTTCTGTGTCAGATTCAGGCCAGCCAGCATCAAATTCACCTACCTTTACATATACAAACTCTCTGTTTATCTCTCTCCATTGTTGTGAAAATATTCTGGATTAAAGATAACAAGAAGAAAAAGCAAAATGTCAGAAACACAGAAGTTGCTGCAACAGGGTATGTAACCCATCAGCTGTCCTGAGTGTAGTTACAAACACACATGCACCCGCACACACCCACTATCCTGCAAATCAGAGCCTCAGATAGATTTGCTGACTAGTTGCCAGCAGTCTCCTGACCAAAATATATGGACTAAAGTTTTTAACTGTGGCTGTTGGCCAGAAGAGCACCTGCTCCTTTCTCTCTATTCCAAACATGTAGTTACGTTAGCTGCTACATGTTTCGTTTTGTTTATGGCTTCCCACTAACCTCCACCCTGCTTTTCCAAGAGAGTTTAGATGAAGCTGAACATCCCAAGATCCTGGCTGCATCATGGGGAGTAATGCACAGGATATGTCACTGCTTCCTGCTGCCATTTAAAACTGTCTCTGGTCCCTACAGAAAGCTTTTTTGCTAAGGTAAATGCCATCAGTAAGTTTTGTAGTCAGGCTATTTTAATACTTAATTATTCCATTCCCACTCCCCAAAATGTTTTATTTAATCAGCTCCTTGGAGCTGGTGATGATAGATAGGCTTCAGGTAGCAGAGGTTAGGAGGAGCACATCTGGCTTCCCAGATTTGAAACTGCCTCTGAAATTTGGTGCCCCAATTGACTATAAGTTGGAAGGAAGGGCTATAGCCATTTGTGATATAGTAAAACAGACA